TTCCACATTACTTAAAGAGAACTCCATAGGTCTGGAGAAAGCTCTCAGTGAGCAGTTCCATAACTCTTCTGATATGTGCAACAATTTTAATGAAGAGCATGTCCGTCATCTGAATTGAGGTCACATGATTTGCAACCAATCCAGTAAATACTGGTTGAGTTGCACCATTCTTTTTCAGCCTGCCTGTTTACGACACTTTGACACATTTTAAGTATGTGTTTTGGATTTGAAGAGGGGGCTTACATCATTGTTTCTTAGCTAAATTGGTAATGATTGATCTTCTACAAGTCTGAAAGCCAAACATTTGCTAACCTGCTCAATTCCCCTGAGCATTGTATGCACCACATTGTCTGTGTTTTTGTTCCTTGTGTAAACCTTCAGTAAAAACCAAACTACAATTGCTAGAGAAAGGCTTCAGGATTGGTGCAGAAGTACTCAAATGCCTCTTTCTTAAAAACAATAAAACCTTCCTTCTTGTCAGGAGAGATAGGCACAGGGAACAGCTGGCAAAGGATTGGAGCTAGAGGAATTCAAAGATAAAATAGTCAGAGGAAGTGGAAAAAAGGAAAGAGACAGAGAGAACAAAATATTCTTTAGAACAAACAGTTGCAAAGATAACTGCACATTCCTATGTGCTTAAGAGATGTGAAAAATGCCACCAAGATAGATAATGTTGCTATAGATGCTGAAACTGTTACTAAGGACAACCAATCTCAGATATTCTGAAATATTTAAATGTTTGATGTAGACGGTTGACCTAAGACACCAGGGAGAGACCATGAAATTTGGGGGATATCTCATTCACCAACATTTACTGCTCAAATTTGTATAGTCTACTGTGATACTGGATATGAATCAGAGGTCCAGTATTTTGAGCTTGAATTTCAAGAGTAGCATCTCTACGACCGAAAGAAACTTATTAAACAAATGCACAACTGTAATGATCATTACAACTAGCTTCTTTCCTTCCTTTCCTCCTTCCTTCCTTTTTCTTTCTTTCCTTTCTTTCTTTCCTTCCTTCAATCCTTCTTTCTTTTGTGTTGGTACTAGGATTTGAAGTCAAAGCCTTGCACTTGTTAGACAGGTGCTCTACCACTGGAGCCATACCTCCTGCCTTTTTGTTTTAGTGATTTTCTGACAGAGTCTTGCATTTTTGCCTGAGGATGTCCTGGACTGAATTCCTCTCCTTATGGCCTTGAATTCAGGTCACTGGGATGACAGATTTATCCACAATGCCTATCTTATTTATCCAGATGAGGTTTAAGCTAATATTTTACCCCAGCTGACAAACTGCTATCCTCAAACATCTCTGCCTTCAAAGTCGCTGGAGTTACACATGTAAATGACTATACCTGGCTCACTACAGCATTTTTCCCCAGCAGAACTGTAGCTTGAACTTGTGGCCTGGTGCTTACTAGCCAGGTGCTCAACTACTTGAGCTCCCATCCCCATTTTCTCATGAATCTTAACTGAAAGTCTTAAGCTAATTTTTCCTAAATCCAAATCTTCCGCCGCACAAAAGCAAACACAAGAGTGACTGCCAAGACATTTTTCCCTCTGCCTACTTTAGTCACATTTGTGATCCAAAGGCATACTGGATGCCAGCAATGATTTGTGAGAGAGGAAAGGGAGACAGGGCCTTGCTCAGAGGCAGACTCCACTCGTAGCCATGTGGAACACCCTTAACACACTTGCAAAGATCCCAACCTTTTCCCTGCTTTTATGTCATAGAAATACTGCTCTAATATGCCAATATAAATCACTGGAGAAGTATTATCCTAGTATTTCACATCAGCAAATTAATACTGAAGATATTTTTGGAATTTCAGTATGTCCATATGTAACCATACACATTTGTTTCCTTTAATTATATAATATAATTTTATTGTGTTTAAGTAGTCACACAAAAGGAGTTACAATTCGACATGTCCATCATTCTATCCATTTTCCCCAACCCTACCCCTCCCCTTAATTTTCCTATACAGTAGACGATAAATATTATGACTACATTTGCCCACCCTTTCTCTCTTCATTTGCCAGCTCCTCTCCTTGACCTTGCCACACGCTCCCACTCCTGACAACTCAAGTAGCAGCTTTTTGGTATTCCTGTGTTAGACTGTAAGTCATTGTTCAAAGGAGTTGCACCACTGGAATTCTCCCCTGTATATATCAAACCTTAAGATGTATATGTGCCTGTGCATATGACATTGTATGTGTTTATGTATATATTTATAATTTGAGCTAATTTCCACATATGAGAGAAAACATATATCCTTTCTCTTTCTGGACCTGACTTACTTCACTTAACATAATTTTTTCTAGGTCCATTTGTAAATGATAGAATATTGTACTTTCTGATATATATGTAAAATTCATATATATGTGTATATGATTTATCATATATGTAATATATATCAGGAATATGTTTTTATATATATATATATATATATATATATATATATATATATCCATTTAAGGGTTCTGAGCTGTTTCCATACCTTGGCTATGGTGAATAGTGCCACAGAGCATAGCTGTATAAGTGTCTTTATTGTAGCCTAAATTGAAGTATTTTAGATAAATTCCCAAGAGTAGAATTGCTGGATCATTCAGACAATACCTACATGGAGTATAGGGAAAAGAAAGTGCCCCAAGAGTTAAATGTTAGGGACAGTGTCATTCATTTCTTTCTTTTATTTTCCTTAAGGAATCTAGTAGGTCACATTTCAGGGTATTTAAAACTCTTTTATAGCCAAACTTCTATCTCTCAAGTAAATGAAATAATCAATATTAACAAAATAATTGGCTTTGAGAAGGAACTGAGTTTTTTTCTTGAGTAGAAAAATTGTCTCCTTGTAGACAAATAGCCCTAATAATCCCTTTCATTTCATTATTATCTTATAATCCCACTCAGCCCTCTTCTTATTGTCTCTGACCTCTTGGTGGGTTGATGTGTTTACTCTTAACTATCCTGTATATAGAATGAAGTCCAGCCTGGACGAAGGAAGGAAGAGTAATCTGAACATAAATCTTTCTGAAGATCAGCTGCCTCTGTCTGATCAACACAACCTCTGTCCCTGAGTTTCTTTGCAATATTATCACTCCAGATTACCACTCAGCCCTCTTATCAGAACAGGATGTGATAACAAATAAAAACTATTCCTTTTGTTAAATATAAGCTAGTGGTTAGAAGGAGTTGTTATTTGTTACCTTATTGCAATCCTCCTTATGTGTACCATGCTTTGTTCAATGTTTGTATATATATGCATATAACCTTGTATATGTTTTCATATATGCTTATCATTCAGATCTAACTACCACAGATGAGAAAAACCACATGCCCTTTGCCTATGAGCCCAACTTCTCTTAACATAATTTTTAACTTATAGTTGAACAAAATGAATACCAGGAAGCTGAAACATGTGTGGAGGAAGTGGGGGGCGGGGTCAAGAGGAGGAAAGACAGACAAATAGAGAGAGGTAGTGTGGGTGAATAAAGTCATGATATAAGTGGAAATGTGGAAATGGAATCAGGTAACTTCAAGGGATGGGAAGGGCTGAGAGACATGGGGGATAGTGATGGAAGAGGTGACATTGATCAAGATGCATTGTACTCATAAACTGATATGTTAAAATGAAATTTCTTTGTATAGCCACTTAAAGATAATTTTGAAAAGAAATAGAAAATATACTAAATAACTATTCAATCTTAAACCATTTTATATTTTGCAGCAAATCTAGCAGGGTAGTAAAAAAAATACAGAAGATTATTACACATTTTGATCAATAGTGCTTTAGGAAAATGCCTCCTCTCCATACAACTTTGTCAATCACATTGCAACAAAAATATTAATGCAGTAAACTCAAGGTGAATGTGTTATCCTGTTAGAAATAGCTGGGAATGTTGAGGCGTAGGAATAAAGACGCAAACTGATAGGAAGTTGGCAAGGCAAAGTTCACTTCTGCAGAAAGGTGTGCCACCTGCCAAAAATCTACCAGGCAAACACAGGCAGGCTGCTCCTTTCGATCCCTAACCCAGGAGGCCCCGCCCCTCTGCTCCCATTGGCTGAGCTCAGGTTCATAATCTGCAAAAGGATGTAGCTTAATTAACAGATGTAACTAAAATTCAAGGAAAGTCTTAAAGTGTTCAGGGAAAGTATGTATGTATGTATATATGTATGGATGGATGGATAGATGGATGTATGGATGGATGGATGGATGGATGTAACTAAAATATAATGAACAAGGGCCAACCCACCTGGCCAAAGCAGGAATTGGTCAGGAAAACCATTCTTTGAAGATGAACAGAAAGAAAGCTAACTTCTTTGATAGAAAAAATGCTTTTTCTCAGAAACTCCATGTTACGATAGCTTTGAAGGTCATGTTCTGCTTCAAAATCTGTTCTAAACAACAATTGTTATTAAAGTTGTTTAAGCCTGAGATTTAGTTTATTAATAGAAGAAGCAAATAGAGGAAACATAGTGCTCACATTTCTGGTAGCTTTTCAGAGGAAGCAACTGTGGTTTTTTAGACTTCTAAGTCTATGATGCAGGTTAGGCATGTATTTTATAATGAGTTCTGGACCCCCTGCCTTTCTAGGAAATTAATATAAAGATGGATTTGGGAGATAGAGGTCTTTTTTGGTCTTCAGTGGCTATGTATAAAATTTTCCTAGCCAATGACCTTAGGCATCTGATAAAAGTATTCATTCAATATTATTCACCTATAGATCCTTTTTCTAAGAAACAGTATAGATGTATTTTCAATAAATTATTTTCTTGAAGAACCTGAGAAAGTCTTGAATTCTGAGACTAAAGCATACACTGTCCCAGTAAAAGGTCATAGATAAGATAACTTCAGTTTTACTCCAACGAGATACCTATACCGAATTCCAATATAATATTACTCAAATCTATAGTGTTTCCAATGAAATGAACTATAAACTAAACCAACAGAATTTCTAAATGTTGTCTGAACTATTTTCCTTCTCCTCACCCCTACAGGATGAGCTCAGGAAGCAGTAGGAATTTGGAAAACACACCCAAGAGAGTCCATCGGGATCCTCTTGTTCCCAAGTTAAACACAAGCAAGAAAATGTCTACCTTAGCAAATTCACCCAGCAGCCTGGAAGTGCCACCAGAGACTAAAAAAAGCTGTGGAGATAAACAGACTGAAATCCCAGCTGAAAGAATAAAAATGGCCAAGACGATCAAGGAAAAGCAAAACAACGATTTAGAGAAAGTGAGCTTTAAACGGAAGGCAGAAGGTGAAGAAAAGCCAGTGGCTAAGAAAGAGGCCAAGGGAACAGAAATTGACAACCAGCTCCATACCACACCTCTGCCTCATATCTCCTTAAAGACCATAATGGATGTGGAAGCAAAGTTGGTCTACATTGATGAGGAGGATGTGAGCTATGAGTTTGTAAAGTCTTTCATGTCCACCGAGGTTCAGCCAGCCTGCCGAGCTGCTGAAATAGCAGACCCGCTGAGCGGACCTAATTTCAGCTTCCTACCTCAGATTGACAAATGGCTTCAGGTGGCCCTCAAGGATGCCAGCTCTTGCTATAGACAAAAGAAGTACGCCATGGCCGCGGGACAGTTCAGGACAGCGCTGGAGGTATGGGATTAAAGAAAATATAGATCAGTAGCTAGAAGGAAGGAGATGGGAGGCGAAGTTACATTCAGCGGCTCCAATCACACCGTCATGAACGGTGATCGTTAGTAGCGTAAAAATTCTTAATATCAGGATTGTGCACTCCACGATTTATAAGACAGGCTTGCAAGTTAATAGGGCCATATGAACTTGATATACAGAAATAGCCCCAAAGTGTAGAACTTATGCTTTCATTCTGTTAATGAATCCTACAGTAAATACTCCCAGGTCTCCAAATGAGGCTGGTTTTGTCACTTAGATGCACATCTATAAAAGCCACAATGTTTTAGTGCAATTGGGTGAGTAGAATGTAGATTCCCGACAAAGAGATGATTAATGAGTATGTGAGTTTTCCTCTTCTGGTATGTGGTTTCATTGAGCCAAGCATTACCCCCTTTATCTTTGAGCATGAACTCATTGATACTTCATATGTGATACTTACTAGAAACAAAGTTTTACCTTGTCATTAAATTTCCTTTCCTATGGTAATACACTTTATTAAGAATTACTTTGACATCTGCAAACAGGTTCGGTTTGTCAATATCTTGACATTAAGCGTTAGCCTTTGGCTGGGCACCAGTGGCCCACGCCTGTAATCCTTGCTCCTTGAGAGGCTGAGATTTGAGGAATGCAGCCTGAAGCCAGCCTGGACAGGAAAGTCAGTAAAACTTTATCTCCAATTAACCACCAGAAAACCGGAACTGGCACTGTGGCTCAAAGTGGTAGAGTTAGCTTTGAACAAAAAAGCTCAGGGATAGCATCTAGGCCCTGAGTTCGAGCTCCATGACTGATGAGAGAGAGAAAGAGAAAGGGGAGGAGGGGAGAAAGTGCCTACATAGAACACAAGTGATTTGTAGAACCCAAACAGATGCATCTACAAATATTTCCCTTGTCCTGAAGTATCATGACACCAGTAAGACAAGTGTGATGTACTTTTTAAGCTTCTTAACAGTGTAATGAGTGGTGGGGAAATACAGGTACATTCACCAGCATCCAACAGAAGCCGAGCTATCCTGAGAGCTGAGTCCTCCAGCCCAGGAAAGCCTGCTGAAAGACTGCATGAAGATCCTGAGCCTCCCTTCAGGACCATTTCCAGCTGGACTTTTTTCCACTGGAGGAGGGTTAAAGATACGATTTTATGGGTAAAGAAAGATATAATTTTGGTAATGAAAAAAACATATATCTTTTTTTAATGCCATACAAACTTCACATTGCAACTGGCTAGAAGCAAAAGGTTCCTAAGTTAACTGAAAGAAATACCCAACTTTCGATAAAGCCCAGTGTTGAATGGTAATAGCAAAATTCTGAATCATTATTTGATGACCTAAAGATATAACTGTACTAGAAAACGTATGTATTCTTTCTCCTCTCCTCTCCTTTCCTCTCTCTCTCCCCCTTTCTCCCATTCTCCTTCCCTCCCTCTGCCCTTCCCTTTTCTCTCTCCCTGGATTTTTAGGAAACTTTTAGATGCTGACACTAATTACTGGTAATTAACAAAGGTAATTATTTTGAGACCAAAACTTAGCTTAGACATATGGCCTAGCTTTCATCTCATTATCTTGGGAGTTAACTTTGAAATCTCACCTAGAATGTCTCTTAATAAACCAAAAGCTACAGGGAATAGAACAATTTGTAGCTTCTTTAACTCTTCTGCTCCTGAAGTGAACTTGCAAATTTAATACTTTCTCATTATTCCCAAGAATTAAGTAATGTAGATCTCTTTTTATGTCTATATCTTAAGTAAGGCAGGGTAGGTGACAGATACCAAGAGCAGAAAGATGATCAGAACTGGTGGATGTGTTAGCAGATATTTCAGTTCATATACATTAGGGTTAGATTTGCCTGTGACAGAAAATCTGAACTAACATGGTGAAAAAGGAAGAAGTTTCTTTTCCTCTCAAAGTTTGGTACAGTCTGATCCACAGGCAGATTATGTTTTGTTCCTTAACAAGTAGCCTTGAAAAACAGGCTCACGCCTGTCACCCTAGCTACTCAGTCAGCTGAGATCTGAGGATCATGGTTCAAAGCCAGCCAGGGTAGAAAAGTCCATGAGACTCTTACCTCCAATAAACTACTCAGAAAAAGCCAGAAGAGATGCTATGGCTTGAGTAGTAGAGTGCAAACCTTGAGCAAAAAAGAGGCTCAGGGACAGTACCCAGGCCCTGAGTTCAAGCCCCAGGACCAGCAGGGGAAAAAAAAAAAAAAGGTGTGATCTTGACCTCATGATCCAAATTGGCTGCTCCTACTATGTCATCATATACACAGTCCAGCTAGCCAAAAGGTAAAAGAGAGAGACTCACGGGGTATCTAGCATTTCTATAGTTTCCCCACTGATCAGAATTTAGTCATGTGACTACCCATTGCCCCTGAGGAAGACTGGGAAGCCCTAACATTCAGACGCTCTCTTAGATAAATAGAAATACTTAGTATTTGGGAGGAATTGTAATCCATATAAATATTTGCCAGATATGTGGTATACAATCAGCTCCAGGAGTGACCACATTTCTTGTGGTTAAAAGTAGCAACAGACAAGTGAAATAGAAAAGTATGAGCTAAGCAAAGGCCCTAGAGATATGCAAATATTTATTAATTAACATGATAACTTCTAATGCATATCAGAAACCCATTAGGAATATTCTGTTGTGATATTACTTTTCTTGTGCTCTTGGCAAAATAGTCACTCCTTGTGTTTTAAAAAAGTCTTTTACTGGGCTGGGAAGGTGGCTCAGTGGTAGAGCGCTTGCATTGCATGCCTAAGGCCCTGGGTTCGATTCCTCAGCACCACATAAGCAAAAAGAAAAAAGCCGGAAGTGGCCCTGTAGCTCAAGTGGTAGAGCGCTAGCCTTGAGCTGAAGAGCTGAGGGACAGCACCCAGGCCCAGAGTTCAGGCCCCACGACTGGACAAAAAAAAAAAAAAAAGTCTTTTACCCATATATGCAATTCTATTCTATCATAATAATCCATAATGGTTAAAATAGGTATGCAATGATTTAAAGACAATTTTACTTCCAAAAAGCACTAAACTTTAATCTTTGAGGTATTTCAGAAAGTAGCAAGCATTTATTTAAATGAGCTAAATGAAATAACTTAGTTTCATATGTTTTACTTGTGCTATATAAAGTTAAGCCAGTTGTATGGATAAGCCATTGTTCCTTGGCTCTTTGATCAACTGATGAATTGTCCTCAAGTTTTCTTCAAATGAATCATTATCTGCTCTTGCGTTTGAATGTATATTCTAAGTCAAGGCATTTGAGCAAAATGCACAAACTGAGGATAACACAAATTTGACTCATTTTCATGCTGAGATGCTATTTCTCTATAATTTTTTAAAGAAGGCTATGAGATTCACTAGCTGAGGTGTCACATACCTAAAATCATGTGTACTCAGGAGGCTGAGATAGGGAGGGATCCGGGTTTGAGGCTAGCTTGGGCAATATTTTGGGAGCACTTACGTCACTCATAGCTGGGCACGGTGGTGTACACCTGTCCTCAGAGCTATGCGCTAAGTGTAAATAAGAGGACTTCAATTCAGGTGGTCCCAAACACAAAGACAACTAAAACAGAAAAGTCTGAAGTTCTGGTTCAAGTGTAGCGCACCTGCCCAGAAAGCATAACACCCTGAGTACAAACTCTAGTCACACACACACACACACACACACACACACACAAAATAAGGATTTTATAATTTAAAAAATTATAAAATTAGCCTCATGTATAGTTGCATTTGCATAGTAGGCAATATACACTACTGTTTAACAAATTTATTAGCTGCCAATAAAAAGGGAAATTTTAATTAATAAACATTGTAACCACATTTTCAAAAGAATAATAACACTAATTAATAAAGACTTCTAGGAAATTGTAAAGGTCAAAGGACAATAGTCAAATGTTTCTTGTCACATATGGAAACCAAGTCAAAACCATCAGTTCAGCTTCAATCAGAGGGTGTGAGTAGTTAAAAGGCTTCCACTTCTGAATTAGAATAAGTGTGTATTTCCCCTTCAAAAGTCTCAGCTTCAAGCAATCTTATTGAAGAAGGGAGAACAAAGCTTTCCCTTCCCCCACAGAAACTTCCACATCACTAGGAAGAACTCCTTTCAGTGCTAATCTTCTTTTAATATCTTGATGCCCCTGATCCGTAAAGTTAAATAATTTGCAATTACACAGCTTTTTCTGCATGCCAGGTACTGAATTTTCCCTTCTGGGAATATTTACATTCATTATTCCATTTTCTTCCTACACCAGGCCAATGAGATAGGATAGACAGGGGAAGGAACTTGCTCAAGGGTCTACAGCTAGAAAGAATGGCTCCTGGATCTGACCCCTGGCTTACCAGCTTAGCCAGGATGCCTTTGCTACTTTGCAGATGAGTTGACTGGAAATTGAGATTCCAGAGCCTGCTAGACCTGCAGAAATGTAATCTACAATCCCACAGATCCTCCATGGGCCACAGGGCAATTTGAAGAGCACTGTGCACTGTGAGGTGGCTACACTGAACAGATTTACTGCAGTCGTTTTTATGTTAAATATCCTCCAAAGCTTGTGAGCTGAAGAAGGAGGCCCCAGTGTAGTGCTCTTACCAGTTAGTGGATGATTATTAGCTAATTGGAGGTGTCCCACTGAAGGACCGGGGAAACTACAGCCCCTTCCTCTTTCCTCCCCTGTTCTCAGCACAGGCTCAAATGATCAGGCCCACCACTCATGCTCTAGAACCTCCAAAACTGTGAGCCAAAACACCCCTTTCTCTTTATGAAATTACTGTGTCATGCATTTTGTTCTATTGAAAGGACAAATGTGACTGTGTCACATTTACCCTCCAGTTCACACTGTGTACTTTGACCTTGACAGTCTTACATGTCTAATACTGACTTCACAGAAAAAAGACAAAACCTTTACTTAGGCATTTTTCATTTTTAATCTTAATTTATTTTTAAGTAGTAGTACAAAGGGTTTCAATTCAACAT